TCACATCTCGAGCATGACGGACGCCTAAGATCACAGCGCGTCTTCGCAGCCGAGCACTCGCAACAAGATTTTTTTCGGAGATTCCGGGGCCGTCCATCCACACATTTTTTTGAATGTCGAATGAGTGAGGACTCTTAAAAGTTTATTAGCACAATAGCAGTTGGAATACGGAGTTAAGGTGTGTATACTCTGTGTAAACTTGAAGTTGCACCTCGTGCATTCGAACCCAGCTAAGTCTTTCATCTTCCAGATATGGGCATTTAACCGCGGCCTTGTTCGTATCTCAACCACCTCCTCTCGATCGAGATGGCAACTAGCTGCCTAATATTGCGGAGGTGAAGTTGCGCTGTCAACGCGGGGGCTTTGTATAGATTGACAATAAACCTGCAGCCCCGGCGCCACAAATTGATCAAGGTCCACTACTATAAGGAGTCCGGAGTAGATGTAAAAAAGCGCAGCCGTTACAGCACTTGGTGCCTGGGATAATGGCAAACTATAAATATGCCTCGTCTATCACCACCAGAATGAGGATGGTTGTCTGGCCCCGTCTTCTGGCTTTTTCAGGCGCGGTTCTGGCGTTGACCAATGCTCATCCTTGTAGTGTCTGAACTGTAACAAGTTAACTTGTATTGACAAATGGGTGAACGTCAACAACTAAATAATAATAGCTAATAACTAATAATAACTACGTTAACTACTCCGTAAACTAATAACTAATAATAATTCTCCTTGCAGCTGCAAGAGACCAAACCAAACGAATTTTGAAGAAGGGGATCATCACTCACGTCATCGCAACTATTTCCAGTTCCGTACAAGAATCAATTCGAGGAGCCTGCAGAGCCGCCTTGATATCGGTTTCAGTAAGCGTTAGCTCTATGCATTGCTAAAACCCCTTACCATGACATGTACCGATTGTACGTACCCCAGTCCAAGGTTACTCCGGTACATAAACAAAAGGCAATTCCAAATTGTCAAATTAGGGCTGAAAGTGGACCGTGGTGCCCCACTCTGAGAGCTAAAAAAGCGCCATTCGATTACGCTCAAACCCAATGAACGGGCAGCTTCTTGCAAGTTACGGCCGTAACTACAGCAAGTCAAAAATTTTTCATGACTTCTGGGAAAACAGAACCAGCCAATCATGAACGCATGTTTCGGATCCAGGCAACAATAGCCTTGAAGCTGGGTGGTTAGATATTTCTTTATGCAAGCATGGCTTCGAGGGGGAGTTGCATCTGCCGTTGAGTTCCCGCCCCCGTCAGATCATGACTAGACCATAAAAACACATTTACCATAAATCCCAATCACACCGGGTCAAATAATAATAGATGCCACATCTCATTGCGGAAGTATGTATGAACAAACAGCAGGTTTATGCAGATATTTGTAAACTGGAAAATGTAAACTTCCAGCAAAAACCGAAAAGAAAGCCAGAGGCTCGGGGAAGGAAGCGAAGATAGGGCTGTTAAATAAGGTTGGGAGAGTTAGGCCAAAAATTCCACAATAGTTAATAAGACCGAGTGGATCTACTATTAAACAACAAAATATGTCCGTGAGGAACATGAAGGGGCAGAGGTAGGTGGGAACGGTTGTAAGGCGGGAACAAGTGGTGGCGTTCATGTGTATCCCCGTAGGAATTCGGGGAGTGGATAGTTAAGCGAGTTGGTAGATTAGCTGAAGTTGGCTGGTTTTGAAGGTGAAGGAATCCATGACTTCAACAAAACCAACGCCTGCGAAAGTCCCAAGGGAGCGACGAAAAGTAAAGAAAAAAAAAAACCAGACGCCTTCATTTTATGCACATTCCAAAGAGGAAGGGGAAAAAGACAATAGATATTGGAAGGGTTAGCGAAATATTGAATGTATCCTGCCTCTTAAGTCATGGTAAATGGAATCAGTGATGCCGACCCGTGGAAGAAAAGGAACAACAAACTGCATCAGATGCCAAGTTGGCTAGCTCCTTCTAGTGGGAGCAGAATATTCTTTTTTTTTTTTTTTGTATAAACTATTCGGGGAGTTTGAGGGGATCTTCTTGACATGGAGATTCTTTTGCTTTATCTTTACCACTTATCTTCATCGTCAGGTAGGAAGCGCTTACGAGAGCGTTTAAGAGAGCGGAGTAACTCATCCAACTCAGTCCAGTTGGAAAGAGTCAATGCGAACTTTCGGTGCTTCCTCGTCATTACGTGCTATAATCGCATTAATCAGGCTGAATGGTATTCAATTAGAGAACGGATTTCCAGTATATTTGCAGCTTACCTCTTCGAAGTCATCGAACTTGTCACGGCAATTCTCACAGTATCCCGGCTTTGGATCACGTTTCTTTTGCTTGGGCTGCTCTGTGTTGCTGCTCTTCTTGCCGGCCTGCAAGGCTTTCTGGGCCTTCTCCTCTTCCGATTGAGTCATGCCGTCCTCGTCAATGTGATCAAGGTTTCCGTGAGCTTTAGTCTTTGCTCCTCTTGTCACGGGAGCCCTGCTGGCTTTAAGCGCACCAGAAATATCCGTCATCCTATGCGAAGATGTCATCACATTCATTGATAGGGGATTATTCCCTTTCTCTAGAACCTTCCTCTTCAACTCGTGCACCTCTTTGCTTGTTCCTGCTTTTGCACCAGGAGCTGCTGCGGTGGATGATATCATCTGGGACCTGATAGCTGACGTAATGTTCGATGGTTGGACGCCAGATGCTGCCGGTTCGCGCCCGAGGTATGTTGCGAGCGAGGTCTTGGTGCCGGGGAATGTCTCTAGGCCTTTACCCCGAGGGGAAGCTGGCTTTTTAGGCAACATCAATAGAGACTCAACCCGCTTTGGGGCAGGCATTGGTCCTTCCCGTGTCTGGTGCTGGGTTGCCCTTCCCTCTGTTCCCTGTACAGCTTGTTTCTCAACTGACCGTTCGGGAGGGCGCATTGCTTTCACTTCCACAGTTTCCTTGGACTTCGTCGTTGGGGCAGGATCGTTCTCCTTTGCTTGATGGGCAACAGCTTTCCGCTTCTCCAATTCCTTTTTGGATAGTGGTTCGTCGATAAATGGGCACTTACCCAACGCAGCACTCCGAAACTGTGGCCATGCTCCGTCCTGTCGCTTGGCTACTTTCGGATACTCGCGAAGCATAACTGGCCGAGTCTTTTCCTCGAAATCGTGGACATATATAAAAGGTCCTTTGAAAGGAATAACTTCCTTCGACGCCAGGATAGAGTCACGGTCAGCGGGTCCGTGAAGGCGCTCGTTTCGAAGGACTTGTGACAAGTCGGTTTCTGCCCTCCCTCTTCCAGTTCCAGAGACTGTGCCATTGCTACGTGTGTAATGACTATGATTGGAGGTAGCGTTCCCATCGTTCATTGTTGATATCACACGCTGGAGTTTCTCCAGGGCCCATATTTTCATGTTCATTTGCCTCGCCCGGTATAAGACGTCCTTGTTGTCCCTTTTCCCATCACCATCTAATTGGCCTGCACGTTTGTCAGATGCTTTCTTCGATCTCCCTATCCCTTGGTTACTTTGAGTGTTTTCGGTGTTCTTGTCCAAAAGCGACGGGTTAACAGTTTGGATAGGTCCATCTGCATTGAATTGGCTAACGGGGGTTACTTGTCCTGTAGATAGTTCTGTGGAATTTGGGGTGTCAATTTCCGGCGGAATTGGGCGAGCAGTTACGACGTGTGTCACGATTTTGGAAAAAAATTTCTCTTCGGTCTATACAAGAAGTCAGCCAATCATATACGTAAGACTTGCTCAATCATAACCAATCTTGAGATCATTGATTTAGCGAACAAAGTCATGTATCACACAATGAAACTTACCGCACCAAGAGCCATAATATGTCTTGAGCACTTGTTCCTGACATCTTCAGGTATGCTCTCAAAGTAAAATACGAACTGGGGGAACACCTTGCGATAATGCTTTTGCCACTGGCGGATAGTGTCCAATGTCTCTCCCCCTGTCCTATCATATTTAGCGCCTCGTAGTGTACTATTCCTGTCCTTATCCCTAACCGCAACTAGTTTCTTTTCGAAGGCAGTGGGTTGAGAATTGGTATTCTTGCGCGTAAACACCTTTCCCTCCGTACTAACCACGGTTGCCTTTTGTGGAAACCTGCTAGTCAACTCATATTCGTCCTTCTCCACCATCTGCTTCTTTAGCGGAGGCTGGGTATATGAGTTCTCCCCCTGGCCATGGATGGAGCGTGTACGTTTCATTGAGGCAAGGGCACCTCGATGAGGGGAATTGGTGCCATTGGGGACGTTGATCAAGGGAACCCGGAGAGTCGACATGGCAATAGACGGTTGAGGTGAAGGAGTTATAAATAGTTCTGCCATATATACGTAAACAATACCTCAAAAGGAACACAGAGAGATTGAGAGATATAGAGGGGAGATAACCAGCAGCGAGAGAAAAGAAGGATAGAGGTACGTCCGAGAGTTCAGCACGCGAGGTACCACACGTCGTGAATTGGGGCGATATCGAACCCACCACGCTGTTCACGTCAAGAGCAAAGAAGTGGTAAAGGGAAAAGGAAAGAAATATGCGAAAAACACCAGCAGCAGAATAGAGATAATTGATAGCAGAGAGCTCTCATAGGGAGCTGCAGAAGCGTGGGCGTGTGTTCTCGTCGGCCCCGTTCTTGTCCCTGGTGGTTGAAACTGTTGTTTGGAGGAGTCGGACTTGTTTTGCTGGTTGAAAACCCGCGACGTCCGGCGGCCAATGAGAGCGCGCCTTCTGAAGGGGGCCATGACAAGCCACAACCCTAACCCTACTAGCGTCCATTGTGCGCCTCTGTCGGCGGGATTCATGGAGTGGATGATACATGTACATAGATCCAGTGGAATAAACATGACCGCTCAGGTTCAAGTTTCGGCATGAATCCGCTGTTGATTATTTGTATACATCTACAGAAATGGCTGCTGCCAACTGTGTCATTAAGGCCCAGTTCATTTGCCACTGGAGAAACGAGAAACTACTAGAATACGAAACAATGAAACAAGCAAATTAAGGTTCTTAATATTCTTCTATTGAATAGTATATAAGAATAGTTGAGTATATGTAAGTGCGGCAAAGACGAACTAGCTCTCCCGTAGAGCTTCAATGTCATCGATCTTGAAGTCATGTTAGAAAGAGCAACACTGTGGAATTTTCAAACTATTTTCTTACCTCTTTCACAGCTTCCGTCGTCAGAATAAATGGGTTATCTTTCCCTACACAGATACTATCCTCAATACGTATTCCGATACCCCGGAATTGCTTTGGCCATCGTTCATCATCAGGGACGTAAATACCACTACTCGGTGGAAGTTCAGAATTCACACTAATTTATCCAGGCTCATGATTGAGAGAAAGCTTACGGCTCGATAGTAATACACTGCCCAGTTTCGAGTTCGCGACTTCTTGGATATCCCACGCAGTCATGGACATCTAAGCCAATATAATGTCCCAGGTGGTGAGGGAACAGGGTTGTCATGGCCTTAAGAGCAGTAACACTTAGTAATGACTAAATGAAGCGGTGACTGTGAAAATGATATGGGAAACTCACGGTTCCAGATACATCAAAGCCAAGTGCCTTCAGTTGCTCCCGCAATCCCTCTTCTGCAATGTCGTGCAGCATGTCAAGAGACAGACCAGCGGACTCACGGCATAATGATACGCAGGCCCGCTGTACGCTCAAAATCGCATTGTATAAATCCTTTTGTGGGCCAGAAAACTTGCCGCTAACAGGCCATGTGCGCGTAATGTCAGATATATAGCCGCCGTACTCCTAGAAAGCGGTCAGTAATCCACACCAGAACCCTACAATGGAATAAGGGAGTCCATACACCACCTCCATCAACAAGGACCATATCTTCATTTCTAAGCAAGTAAAAGTAAGTTTCAAATCGCGTGATTGACCAGGTTCCTGTAATACCTAAGAATATCATCATTTCTGACATAGTGAATGCTTAGAGCATTCTACGGGAGAAAACATTAGCTAGCAGCATATCGCAAGAATCTCATTGAAAATTGTCATACCTGACCTCCAGCGATAACAGATACGAAGGCTGGACCATCACAGCCATTAATCTTGAACTGGTAATCCAGGAATGCATGGACGTCCTTCTCCCTCGTGAAGCCCCTTCTCATGGCGTCTGTAAATGCCCGTCCTGAAACTTGTCCAGCCTTCCGCATATTTTGTACCTCTGCTTCGCTTTTAAACACGCGCAGTTCGTTGAGAACCGGGCGCAATTGCTTTAAATTTTGCGAGTTGACCATCTTCTCCAATACTCCTTTTTCCGTTTTGAGGGAGGAGAATATGTGGGTTAATGATAATCGCGACGGGTCGGGAATTCTGAGGTCCGTAAAAATGGCTGACGCATCCGAAAGGATTGATGGAGGATTGTCCCTAATGTTTTCTACGTTACCGCTCTATAACTATAAAGTTAGTGGGGATGTTAATCAATTGTACGGGTAGTTGACTTTTACTATATCTGCATTGAAGACGTCCGTCGCAGCCTGGACTCCTGACCGAGCGCCTTCCCATAGTTCTGCTCTTGGATCTTTGTCTCGAACGTAGAGGTGAAATACATGATCACCTTCCGACCCATCATTGCCTATTATATATTAGAATACCGATCCCACCTCATCTGAGCAGTTTCGAGCTCACCAATAATCGCTAATGCACCGGGTTCATTAAAACCTGATCCACCTAGTAAGCAACACCATACCAGAGCATATGAAAAAAAAGAAAAAAAAAAAAAAAAAAGGGAAATATTCCACACCAGTTAGATAGAAAAAGTCCGGATCCTGGTGGTATTCGTAAAAGACACTTCCCGACCTGTACTTTATGTCTGAAGCAGCGACGACGGCAATCGCATTCTTGGGTAATTTGGATGCTAGTTTGGACCGACGTTGTGCATATTCGCGAGCGGTGATGCCAGGTGTCACTAAGCAAAGTGAAATAGAAGTTAGTACCTAATTCTATAAATTGTGCTGGAGGAGATAGTCATCGTTCACATACATTCCCCAGCTTTGAGGAGATGCGGATGCGTTTCGTGAAGCGGTTGTCCAAAGCGGAGCTCCGCAGCGGACACTGAAGCATAGAAACGTTGCGATGCATGTCCATTGCATGCATTCTTCAGAAGACCCTTCCTGCTGCTACACCTGACCGGAATATTGGCCGCATACCGGGCCCATTGACATGGGGAGGGGAATACATGTGGCATATTTGGTTGTTGTACTGTCAGAACATCGACACCATCGTATGCTCAGTGATTCGGGTGGTAACAAAATGACGAATTTCGTACGCATTGGGGTGTAACTGTATTGTCAGATCTGCACAAAAGAGCCAAAATACGTGGTGAGAACCAAAAATTACAGACCATTAATACCATGCTCCAACATCCTTGAGCAGTATTTAAGTAACATCGTGTTTTATCATTATTACTGTGTAAAAATTTTCGATCAAACTGCAACAAAAGATCCCATCAGATGGTCAACTCATTATTGCATCTGATTTGAAAAGTATAATTCAACCTGCTATCCCTTCAAAGGATCCAATTCTATACCACGCCTTCATATATTTTCCAACATACCTGAATTCAAATATGTACTCAACACTGACGTTCCTCTGTATTACGAAACATTTCGTATAAGTTATTTACTCTCTGCATACTCATAACCTGAAGTGCAGACGCATGGGCATCGTGAACTGAGAACCAAAAAACCGACAATAATTTGATATAACTAACAGCCAAATCGGAGTCCATAAGGTGGTAGATTAATGAAATCATATTTCAGCAAACTGGGAACGGGGAAAGTTCCGCCTCTACGAGTTGAAGGATGCTAGAGGTTAGGATCATCTCATAATTTGCTTGATGGTGATTCCGGTATATGCTTAAAAATCCACGGGAAAGCCCATTCTCAAGGCCTGTGTTTCAGAGAAAGACAAGCCGCTGTCTCTTAACAAGGATTTATAAAACAGATGGAAAAATTGGAAGATATCCTGACCCTTTGACTAAGTGAGTTCATCAACCTAGCAAACATAGTTACCAATCCCAGCTATTACCTCGGGGGAATAAGCAGAGACTAGAAAATAACTCAGGCACTTCCTTTCATAAATATATGGATGTCTATCCCGCCTCACATACCTATACTCAAGTGTTTTGAAAGTAACTGTTGTGTATAACAGCATTTCCTACTGCGTTCAGCCTAGTTGTGGTTTTCAAGATGACATTACACCGCAAGTATATCAAAAGTATCTCAAGGCGCTGTTGATTTATCCTCGAAGGTTCAGGTTGACTGCAATTTTCTGGCCAATGAAAAACCCTGCAGATTGACCCAGTATTTAAGCTTAAATTAACAAATCAGCCAATCATATCGACTAGTTACTAAATTTAAGTTTGTCATATGTCACATGACCTGCAGAGCTTCGAATACGACTTATAGACATTGGAATATTGGAGATAACACTGGAACCTGCACTCCAAGAAACAATTTCTCCACAGTTGAGATTAGTAAATATGGCAAGGCATCATGAGGAGCGAGTCAAGAAGGCCAAGAAGTATGCCCGCATGGAGAAAGTGCGCAAGTTCTTTTGTAGAGGGTCAAAACCTCCTGGTGAGCCACTGGAGGACGAACAACCAGTTATTGGACAGGTGATCCTAGTACGTATGCATCGGGTGGGGCTGTCTAGGAAAGTTGAATTTGAAGCGGAGGAGGTAAAGTACAGGTGATCGGGTACGCGGAGATTTGCTACGGGGTTCATGAAAGGTGTTAAAAAGGCTGGTTGCATTGCATGAAGGTATGTGTCAGTGACCAAATTAGAAGGAGACTGGATCTGCGCTGAGTTTGTGAATGTAAGATGCATGATAGTTTACAGTGCTTCTGTTTTTACAAAGCTCACCCGTTTGTCCGACCGAGCCGTCATTGCCATGTTTGAAAAACGTCGTTCAGCACACTATCACGGCTCGATAAAAACAGGTCAGCCACCAAACAAGAAGAAATTGTTCATCGGGACTCTCCGTGTTAATGACAGGGCGTATGGACGACCAGCGGGCACCAACACTGAGTTCAATGGCTTTTCCTTGACTGCATTTACTTGCAAAATTGATGCGCTCACCAGTGACCCCCGCCGCAGTTCCAAAGACCTAAGGGACCTAGATCCCTATGGATCGCACGTGGGAAATCTCACGGAAGATAGGATCATGCTGAGTTGCTGGATAGTTATAGAGGCAGAGCACCGGCTACAATATAAGATCTTGGATTTGCTAGAGGAGGTCGCTGAAAATTCTAAAGGCTGGAAATTGGGAAATGGGTGCACTGCAACAAGGGTTGATCCCATTTCAGTAATTAACATGTTTGTTCACACGGGGTCTATGCTGCAACTGTAAAGTTCATGTATCTATCATCTTTAAGCTCAAAGATACCAAAGAAAGTACATAAAGTGGCATTGCAAAAGAACACCCCCTTCAAATCCGATAACTTTGGACAAGTGAGGATATAATATTAGGAATATGGGCGGTTATTTGCGGAGTACGAGACGAGTCTTCTCATTTTGGTATCTCAAATGCCTGGTGTGTAGATAAATGTCAAAATTCTGGAATGTCAGTACGGAGAAACTACATCAACCGTCAATATAGACAGAGCTGTAAATACTATCACACTGCGCGCAATGCTCTTATGACATTAATCCTCCATACGGGCGATATCCAAGCTTAGAAATTACTTAACACAAATCTGCCGAAAACGGTTCTTCAATCCTGAGCCTGATCCGATAGGCTGCGCAGGCCGAAAGCCTAGGGACTCAACCTCCGAAGCTCCTTGCTAGAGTCACTTCAACGTTGGGGGCTTAGAATGACATTCGATTGATTGGCGGGTCGTTATTTTGACATTGTTCGCGGGTATTAGAATGCTAGCGATATTTGCTTTATTTCTTGCCTTCCCCGGACTTGAAAACGAGCGTGTATGTCATCATGGTGGGGTTGTCAACAAAATGTTATGCTGGTCCACCCATAAGAGTCAGAGTCACCCTCCGACGCTGCGACTCATGCTTGAGCATATTGCCATATTAGAGGCGGGTGAAGAATATGAGCATTTAAAAACCAATTCCTTTCCTCTTTCTGAAGTCTATGATTCTCTAAGACGCCCAGTTTGTATCTTTCGGCACTCATCTGTGCTGTGCTAAGCGCAGAGGATTTGATACCTCTTCCCTTCGCTGAAAGACTGTCATCTTCTACATATCTTGCATAAATATTATATACCACATCATCACATCCCGGATTCCCGGATTCGATCAATCGAGATAATGGGGAAATCGTTAGCATACCCAAAGCGTTCCAGCAACACTATGAACCGATATAAACACCGTGGTAAGTCACACTTGTTTCAACACCCGAATTTACAACCCTACATATAGATAGACATCAACTAACACTTCGCACAAGGAACATACGATCTGGGCACAATCCACACTATAATCAATAACTCCCCAATCCTCCATGTCTCCTTCAGCCCGGGGCCGGATGACCCATTCCCCGCCACGCTCCCCATGATCGGCCAGATGGGCTCATTCGACTATCCGTCTGCAGACATAAATGAGCCCTTAGATTGCTATCTGCACGGGTACGTCAGTTCACGGATGATGAACCTTGCTCGTGCGGCTGACGGACAGAGTGATCGGGAGAACAAGGGACTCCCACTCTGCATCTCCGCCGCACACGTCGACGGTCTCGTCCTTTCTCTCACCCCAAACTCACACAGTTACAATTATCGGTCTGCCGTGCTGCATGGCTATGCGCAAGTCGTGACCGATGAGGCAGAAAAGCACTATGCCATGAAGTTAATAACTAATGGTGTCGTTGCGGATCGGTATGATAATACACGGGTGCCGCCTAATAAGACGGAGATGACGTCGACGACGATATTACGGGTGAGGATTGTGGATGGCAGTGCGAAGATTAGGGATGGAGGGGTGTCGGATGAGAAACACGATCAAGAGGATAAGGAGCTTACGGCCAAGGTATGGACGGGAGTGGTGCCTGTTTGGCGGGTGATGGGCGAGCCGATACCAGCGCCGCGGAATGAGGTGAAGGAGGTGCCAGCGCATATTAGGGAATATGTTGAAAGGGTAAATGAGAGAAATAAGGTGTATGCTCGCAGCGCTGCAAAAGTTGGTTTGCCCAGGGAAGAGGAGTAGTTACATAGGAAGCGTTTCTTTCGGGATACGAAAATACCAATTGTAGTTATTAACCATTCATAAATATAATTCAACAGTCGACTATGTTTTAATAGACACATGACCCATTTTTGGCTATATACCGAGCGACCAGCCTGGAATGTCAAACTACGACGTCCATTTGAGGAGAGTAGTGAAGGTAGTGTATCAAAATCTTGTTGCATCCATCCGCATATTAATATTTAGCTGGGGGCTTGTTAGGCAGCTGGCCCTGGGATTTCATTCACCGAAGGTTAGGCTGCCGTACCCCATAGGGCATGGCTGATCAAATAGCACTGGATTGAGTTAACCTAGTTACCAACGATGGGGCCCTTTCATATCCACTTCTCAGGGTACCTCAGCTCCGCTTTCTATTTTATTTAAATCGAGGCCGGCTCCCGCGTATTTAACTGAGACCTCTGTTGTGGTGTTATTTATGCGACCGACCATAGGTCCTCAGAAACAAAACACGGAATTCTTTTAGTTAACATGGGTAGTTCGGGATTTATTTATCAAGAGAACCTAAGCCTGTACATCCTGCCTTGAGCCAAAGCAAATAAATAGTTTTTAACGTCATGGCTTCCGCTCTTCGATCCACTGGTGTGTCCGAGACGGACAGAATAGCCTTCTCAGAGTACCTTCGGGGCTCAAAAAATGTCATGGCTTTGCTCGGAGCTGGCCTCTCTGCGGCGTCAGGGTTGCCCACTTTTCGAGGAGCTGGCGGCCTCTGGCGGTCCCATTACGCGACATCATTAGCAACCCCGGAGGCATTTCAGTCAAAACCGGCCCTCGTTTGGCAATTCTACAGCTACAGGCGCCATATGGCACTGAAAACACAACCCAATAAGGCGCATTTCGCTCTTGCGGCGTTGGCAAAGAGGAATCCGAACTTCATTACCTTGAGTCAGAATGTGGACGGTACGATACGATGGAAATCGGTAGCATTGAGGAACATATCCATCACGCTCATACGTGACAGGATACCTACCTAGGCATCTACGTGATGCACACAAAATGATTGCTAACCAAACCTTCGTTCACACTACAGGCCTCTCTCCCCGCGCCAACCATCCGGCATCTCAACTCCATCTTCTTCATGGCTCACTCTTCCAAGTAAAATGCAGCTCATCACTCTGCAAGTATGTCGCAGAGGACTACAATGACCCCATTGTGCCAGCGCTAGCAATCCCCAAGGCTGCACCGCAACCTGTCCCCTCCGCAACAAACAAGACCGGCGAGGAAGCTACAAAGAATCTGTTCAGCGCCGTGGAATGGAAAGGCGATCTAGCCCCGCAGCGTCAGCAGCAGCAGCAGCAACAACAGAATCAACGGCCCATTCCCTCAGCATCGAAGGTAGAGGGGGCAGAGCTCGACATCTCTGACGCAAACGTACCTATCCCTAGCATTAGTGGCGCAGACCTCCCGAAGTGCCCGAAGTGCAAAAACCGGCTGCTGCGACCGGGCGTTGTATGGTTTGGTGAATCACTGCCACGGCAGACAATCAACGCTGTTGATGATTGGATAGATCATGCTGATAAGATTGATCTTATTCTTGTCATTGGGACGAGTGCTCAGGTTTTCCCCGCTGCGGGGTATGTGGAGATGGCACGCGAGAAGGGGGCGCGTGTGGCGGTTATCAATATGGATACCAACGACGAACCCCCTGGGGGAATGCTGCCTGGAGATTGGTTTTTCCAAGGCGATGCCAGCGTGATTATCCCGGAGCTTTTGAGAGATGCGATTGGGGAGGTTTAGCGCATGGGGTTTGAACGATACTGTGCACTGTGCTATGCAGTTACCACTTTCTAAAAATTTATTGATTCCCTAGAATATTTGGCTTTATGACGTTTTCATGCTTTACATGATTGAATATATACCTTGACGATGATACGAAGACAAATTCAGTTTTCCTTCCCCTTCTGCTTCTTCTTCTCTTCCCCCCACCACCTTTTTTTTATGTATTTTTTTAGCGTTTTTGTTTGTTTGACTAAAGCATCCCTGTTGACGGACCATGGGATCGGATAACAACGACTAGAAATGCTATCAATTTAGAGATCATTATATGTGTTTTACTTTGAGTTTTTTTTACGCACAACCCTTAGCACGTTCATTCAACAATACCGCTCATTGAAACAGTAGAAGGCCATGATTTAAGGTCGAGTGACGTCAATCGTATACATACCGCTCTTCAAAAAAGGGTCCAGGCTTGACACAAATTTGGTCCGAAGAGCAAAAACTCCAATTCTTGCAACGGCCCGGGCTTGGCGCTCTGACTCAGCACTCTGGTTGCCATGGCATCGGGGAAACACACGGCGGCGACTGGAGACGACACAACAGTATCAAAGAACTGGGACCGGACCAGCCAGATACTGTCATCATTGCCTGTACAACGACTTACGGCCTCATCGCATGATCCCTTCGCCTGGCTGCTACTGTCTTTATTTCTCCCCTCAATACTTGTGGGCTTTTAATTATTATCAAGTTCTTTCCTTGGAATAAGGTGCAACTTCAGTTAAGCTCTGACATCTGACATCAAATGGTAAGTTGACTTTTCTCCGTTGCATTGTGCCTTTTTTTTTTTTTTTTTTTTTTTTTTTTTTTTTTTTTTTGGTTATCTTGAAGGTCTGTAGAAGATTTGGGCCGTTTGTGAGAAGGATTGCAAAGTTACAGGCTGATGTTTCTTCTTTATTATTTCCAGCGATAAATTTGACAGCTTTCAATAAATTTCAACGTAAAGAGCCATACGCGAAATACGTCATTTGGCTGATCCGCAACGTCCCCACCAGGAGGGTAACTACAAAGCTCAAAGGCCACAGCCTCCTCTCTCCATCGCAAACGATTTACGCACACTTTAGTTTCCAAGCGAAAGAAGGTGAAAAGCGAATAGTCGAAAACTATTGATTTATAATCTGCACTGAATTGGCGGGACTAGTGGAGGTATTGTCACTAACTGCTCAAAGATTGCAGACTCTAAGCCATTGAGCCATCCAGCACAATGGTCAAAGAACGGGAACCCCCGAGGAATTCTGCTCTTCCCTCGCAAAACAATAATAAACCTCAGAATAGCCAATTATCGGAGCCAGTATTTGGGCAGGTATCTCCTCTAGGCCCAGCAAAGCAGAGAATGGCAAACCCATTCAATATCCCGAAACCCAATAGACCGCGCCCAGAGCATCATCTACCACCACAACGAACCCATACTCAACAGCAGGGGAAGGATTCCCGATCTAGTTATGGCCAGGCGGGAATTTCGACAGGAAATGCTTCCTCCTTAGGCAATGGATATCAACGCTACGATCCCTTTAGGCTCATGAAGCCATCAGACTACAGCGGCCTTCGACCGGGGTTCCTCGGCGATGACAGTGTTGTCGAGATAGTCAGGCCATCGAATGCCGTACAAACAACACAACCGGCCGCAATTCCCCTGTTCTCTTCTCAAGCAAAACCGAAAATGCCAAAGAATTTAAGCAATTTGCGGAATTTCATTGATCTTACGGGCTCAACCACAAATACACAGCATCAGGAGGAAGCATTTGGTGCTATGGACGTGTATAGCTATGTCGATGCAGCTAAGGCAAATGAAAATATCAAAGCTCTGCTAGAGGGTGCTTTCGAGGATGAAAGCGACAAGCCCCGCACGCGGCAACGACGAAAGAAAATAGAGAATGAAGTGAATCAGTTGGCCATCAAGCTTCAGAAAGTGGATGTTGGTGAAGCACCGGGCGATGAGGAAATGGAAGAAGAAGAGGAAGAAGACGATGGCACTGTTGAAGGGCTGAAGGTGAAACTTCTTCCTCATCAAAGGGAAGGGGTTGAATGGATGAGAGATAAAGAATGCAGCGTGAAAAAAACCCGAGGCGTGATTCCGAAAGGTGGTATTCTCGCAGATGATATGGGTCTTGGCAAAACCGTCCAGACAATCGCGCTTCTGCTTACGAATCCGCGCCACCCAAAAGGAAAGGAGACGATTGACGAGGATAAAGAGAAAACCCAAAAGAAGATCTCTCCAGAAGTTGGGAAAGGAACGCTGGTAGTTGCACCACTTGCGCTGATTAAACAATGGGAATCTGAGATTGAAAGCAAAGTCGAGGCCACCCACCGACTACGTACCTGTATCTATCATGGAACACACCGGACGAAATACGCCAATAGTCTATCTCAGTTTGATGTTGTAATTACCACATATGGAACACTCAGTTCTGAGCATGCAAACTCCGAAGAGAAACCTACTGGGTGTTTTGCTACCCACTGGTACAGAGTCGTCCTTGATGAAGCTCACACTATCAAAAACCGCAATGCCAAAGCAACCCAGGCTGCCTGTTCACTGAAATCTGAATATAGATGGTGCCTCACTGGCACTCCAATGCAGAATAATCTCGACGAGTTACAGAGTTTGATCAACTTCCTGCGCATCAAACCTTACAACGACCTTGCGTCATGGCGTGACCAGATTACAAAACCACTCAACAACGGACGAGGAGGTTTAGCCATCCGGCGATTACAGGTTTATCTTAAAGCGTTCATGAAGCGCCGAACGAAGGATGTCTTGAAATTGGATGGAGCATTAGGTAGTGGAGACCGCGAAGGCAGCAACGATGAAACTAAGGAATCGCCTAACGGATTCAAAATCACTAATCGCGAAGTATTGAAAGTTGAGGCAGATTTCACTCCAGCGGAGCGGGAATTTTATTCACGTCTGGAGCAGCGGACGGACAAAACTTTGGAACGAATGATTGGGGGCAACAGTATCAATTATGCCAGTGCTTTAGTTCTTCTTCTCCGTCTCCGCCAGGCATGCAACCATCCTGATCTTGTGAAAAGCGACCTTGCTCAGGATAAAGATGTGTTGACGGGAAATTTTGGAGGAAGCCAGTCTAAGAACTCAGTCAAAGAAGAAGACGTTGATGACATCGCCAACCTCATGGGTGGATTGAGTGTTATTACAAAATTGTGCGATGTTTGTCAGACCGAGTTGAGCGCAAGAGAAGCGAAGAGCGGGACTAGCAGATGTATGGAATGTGAAGTTAATCTAAAGGCTCAACTTGTTAGCCCGCGGAAGAAGAGGGATAAGAAGAAGAAGAAGAATAAAAGTGAGAAGAAACAAGTGAACGCAGAAGGTTGTGATTCTTTCCGAAAAATTTCTCATAATGCCCGTCGAGCGAGATTGCAGAAGCAGCGACGTGTCGTTGGCAGTGATGATGAAGATGATGATGGCGAGTGGCTTGTTCCGGATAATCAACGACATGTTGAAAATTTGGGGAAGGCCGGTGGAACTGATGACGAGGATGCTGAAGGTGGCGGAGAGTGGTTGTGCTCTGATGATTCTGACACCGACGAAGACGAAGATGGGGAAACTAGCGAAATTCATGGAAAATCAGGAGATGTTACCAATCTCGACTCGGACGAAAAGGGGGAGGAAGAGGACGAGGATGAGGACGGTGACACCGAGGATGAGACCAACGATGAAAGCGACGATGAACCGGAGACTCCGGATCATCTTGCCTCAACAAAGATCCGACATCTCATGAAAATCCTGAAGAAAGAATCTGGAGACTACAAATTCATTGTCTTTTCCTTCTTTACATCTATGCTTACTAAGATTGAACCATTTCTCAAGAGTGCAAATATTGGCTATGCGCGCTACGATGGCGCAATGCGAAATGATCTGCGAGAAAACAGTCTGGATAGACTACGAAATTCCCCCAAGACTAGAGTGCTTCTTTGCAGTTTGCGTGCCGGGTCTTTGGGGTTGAATTTGACGGCAGCGAGTCGAGTTGTGATTTTGGAGCCGTTTTGGAATCCGGTATGCCCGATTATTCGTTTCCGTTCTTAAAGTCAAATCTTTCGCAGTCCATTATTTGAAACTGACTTTCATTCTCATAGTTTGTCGAAGAACAAGCCATCGATCGCGTCCATCGCCTCAACCAAACCATTGACGTGAAGATATACAAACTAACCGTCAGAAATACTGTCGAAGAACGCATAGTCGACCTGCAGGAACGCAAGCGTGAACTCGCGAATGCTACCATAGAAGGGAAGGCTGCCGCTGGAAAACTCACCATGAAGGATATGATGGCACTTTTCAGCCATGAAGCTAGCGCGAGGTACAGTGACGATGATCATAGGCTGAATCTTTCTAGCAAGACGAGATTGCTGGGGTCGAGAGATGACGATGATCGGCTGGATTACGGAAGATCGGGTTCCACGAGCATGTCTGCGTCCCACTCCCAGCCAAGTCGAAGGGCGATGCCACCGGTTATGGAGAGAAAAGCTGGTGGTGGGAGTGGTAGACGGCCTCCGCCTGAGTCGGTCTATGAGCGCAGGTGGTGATGATTTGGGATAATTTTAATTCGACTGGTAGCATGTTTTCTCGATTTGGTTATCAACCCAGCCAAAATAGAACACTTTTTCCTTCGGCTCTACTTCGTATTCATGATCATGCTTCGATTCCATGGTGCCACTTAGGCTTCTTAGATTTGGGATTTGGGTAAGGCGTTTGAGTACGTGATTAGACCCGGCTTGGAGATCTTGTCTTTGTTGATCTTCCAACTTTTCTCCAGAAGATTTTCAGGGAAACTGGTAGTGTCTGCCTTCTTTTTTGGTTTTCATCTTTTCGGATTCTGTTATTACGTTTTCAATGACGTTTTGATATGTTGCGTGCAGACTGGTGTATCGATGGCACATGATAATGATGGATTTTCTGGTACCTTTGTGCATGGGTTTCTATATTACTACTAGTCAATTTTGATATGATTGGATCTATAGAAATGTTGAGTTTTAACATAAAATGGATATTGCGTACTGCAGTTCGGTTTCGAAGTACGTACTATGGGCTATTGAGTTCTGTTAAATCAAGGTACAACATTTGTCTATGGTACATCGGGTTTTCCGCGTCCCTGGAGCTTCCAACATCTATTAGACATGGACATGGGAGTAATGTGCTCAAACAGACATATTTCTTGTTTTCACTTGTATAATTATTTCATATTGATGTATATCGTAGTTTGATACTTCGACAGGGGCTGATATTGAAGAAGGAATGCGGTAAAGTACTTCTTGTACACTCTAACGAAGACAATATCAAATCGTGATTATTTCTGTATAAACGAGTAGCAACTTACGAATTGCAAACAAAAATCTTCTTACGCTATTTATTCTAGAGTTTTCTACTTGCGCATCATATTTTGGCTATGATCCTATTCGTATATATGTGCCGCCCGCATCGCTGCACGATTTTGCCACAGGGGAGACTTTCAATAATAACCTTTACATTAATCTTGGGTCTGCATGTTTTGTGCTCTCGTTTGAACATGTCGGAGTCAATAATTATTGATTAATAAATGCCTGTGCATTCTTTGCCACGATGGCTCTAGTGATGCCGGCTGACCAAGGGAAATCCTTCAGCCAATGTAGTGCGTTACACAACATACAAGCAATGGGCCCGGCGTCTGGCACAGATAGAGAACACACTAAGGAGTTATTGATCGTCATCATATATATAAACCAGCTCGCAAGCAGCGTTGTCGGAAACCTTAAGCGCAGAATGCGGAGTTCCGTTTCCGGGGAGAATCCGTGATCGCTATTATTAACCTTCGAGATGCTCCGTACAATAATGAACGATGGAGAGAAGTGGCAGCACAGGAAACCCGGGAAATTGGAAATCGGCTGGGAATTGGTATCCGATGGGCTGAGCCCCTTTTCTTCTAGAATTTCGGGAAATTGAGCCCTGATTGACCAACTGACCGGAAGAAGGAAGAAGAGTCATAGGAAATTTTTAATATATGCAAAGCCAAGAATCCAATCGGCAGAACAAAATAATCTCCAGCAAAGAACCCCGTAGAAACGCAAGGGGGAAGAATTCCCACGTGGGGTGGCTGGTAGCCCGCTCACCGTAGCTGTCTCTGGTGGTCGGTCAACCACTGGCCAGGGGAAAGCCATCAGGGCAAACTACCCGAGGCTGAGAAATTGGGATCTCGACGGGGCAAAATAAGCAAAACGTCCACCACGGCGCCCAACAGGTGTCACGAGGGTCGAATGTTCTATTTTGTTTGGCTGGTTTTTATTCCTTGCCCACGGATCAGACCGCATGGCGTCCAGGAAATATGATACATGACATGGGGTTTGTAAGTTATCATGACCTGCTAGGGTCCTCGTGGCAAGGATGGTTTCCAGCTCTTTTGTCTCGACATGAAGGAACGAACTCATTCATTTGAATCTGCGTGATATTCATGGCCGCATTAATTGCTGATCCTTTCTCTCGATGTTCACGGCGTCTTGTTGAGTTGTTCCAGGATATGGTGAGCGCAGATCAAACAATGTGACAAAAAGGGCGCATTTTAAATGCCAGTGCAACATGGCACTGAGCGCTTTATACGGGTGCAATATTCGCCGTACTCGGTCGTCCCCTTCCTGACATGTCAATTCCGCTCTCATCCGCTCCGAAACGACATGACGCTTGTCAACTGCCAGCGGTATTATTGCTATGCAAAATTGCACGTTAAGAGTGACAGGAAAAGTCAATTCTCCGCTGGCGATGGAAGAATGCAGATCTCGAAACATGGCCTCAGGCTGCGGTTCCATCATCGTCAATAATTGCCTTATTCTACCAAGGCCGCTTAGCAATTTTGGTTGTTGGCAGCTAACCCATGTGGTAGTTTTGCTGCCAAGGGCTGAGAAGCTCCTTAGGCCTTGTTTAGCCCTGGCCGCCTGTGACCGAGAGTCGGCTGGAGAATCAGGGGGTGAGAGTTGCCTGGTTAAGGTCCTGCAGGACCCTGGTTTGGAGTCCCTAAAGACTCCAGGAGATTATTTTGGCAGGGGGAGGTGGAACACCTCTGAGATGGATTGACTTTAAGCATCGATCCTACAATGATAAGCAATCCCCCTGTTTTCTTGGAGTTGATTTGCCTAGCATAGTTATTATAGTTACAGAGGGGATGCGCCATTGAAAGGAATGATTGACACACCTTTCCTCTATAATTTTTGATCTATCTCAATTAGAGCAATGAGCCTTATTTATTACAATGAATGTGATGTATGATGTTGGGATTTTCATTCTGAGGCTGTCAGGTGGCCAGGGCTTGAAACAGAGCGGACAAGCATTAGTTATCTGAATTGTGAAGAAAGAGAACATGTTGAAAATTGATTTATGGCCATGAACTTTATTTTATTTTATTTTATTTTATTTATTTATTTATTTATTTACTTATTATTATTATTTTGGTAGGCTGAAGCGCTTGACCGACTTTTAATCCTAGTTTCTGAACTTATCACAAACTGAATTGCTTCTTGAGTTTGCCTCAATCAGAAGATGACGAAAATGAAGATGGGCAAGTATCACCTGTTCACGACTCCGTCAAGAAAAGATGATAAACGATTCTCACTTGCACTAGCAGATCTAGTATGCAAGATAAGAAGCTCAAAGTTTCTTGACATCTTTCTAGATACGCTTAGTTCGGTTTGAATCAGTATGTCAGAAAAAATGGCGTCCCCAATGGGGGATTTCCGGGGATGGATTTCGCAGAGAAATTTCACATTAATTCTTCAACGTCTGCAGGTGCTCCAGAAGTGCGTGATTTTACTTCGCCTATCGCGAGATTTTTCTTTTATCTCCAGTGAGTCGAATTCCTTCGCCGTGTTCAAGCTTGACTGATCATCATGATCGGCTCAGCCGGGCAGAGACCCAAGTGAACGATCATTACCAATTTGGGCCAAGTTGGGCTGGTCATATCCTTAACAAAATCATGGTTTCATTCCGGATATGGAGTCCTGAATTTCAAACAATCCTCCGCGTTAGGATTGAATTAGTTCTTTTTCTTTTTTTTTTTCTTTTTCTTTTTCTTTTTCTTTCTTTTGTTTTTTTGTGCTGACGATGACTCAATGCCAAAAAAAAAAAAAAAAAAGAAAGAAAGAAAGAAAGAAAGTAAAGGAAAAAGAAAAAGAAAGAAAGAAAAGAAAAGAAAAGTGAAAAGCAAGATCGCTTCCGAGGTTCCCCTTCATGTTTGCAACTTTTTGAATTTTTGAATTTTTGCCTTTTGGTTTTGTCCCGCATGTTGCCTTTTTCTGGCGTCTTCTGGAGCCGTTCTTTTTCACCTGTGGATCCCGAGATTTCGGGAACTGCATCTTGCGAGCCTGGAGCGGTGACCAGACTTTGGCTAGTTGGGCGAGTACCGGTCTCGCTGGGTATTTGGGCGCAACTTATTGACAGCGAGACGCTTGATGATTGGGTGAGATGTCCCATGAAACCAGGCTGGAACCGGTTTAACATTGGAAACGTGGCGCCCACGAGGCAACACGCGAGCCATTTGCGGCTGCTGTAGTGTGAATTCGAGAACAACCAGGTTCGTACTAGTCTGTTTTACGGGAGTACAGCCTTACGACGAGAAGATGTTAAGTAATGTACTGTTTAGAAGTATTGATATTGATGATGAGATAGCTTCTCCCCAGAGCCTCTACGGAGTATCAGACGAAGAAAATTATGATACTGATGAAGGCTGATCCAGCAGAGAACCGTGAGAGTAATGTAGAATTGGTGTGGCATAATTACAGGATTACAGTTGGTTATCAGAGGGATACGGTACGGCGCGGTATCGTTTGTAGGTCTGCACTGCAACTCTACGGAACTGCGGAGTAGTATGGGGGAATATTACAGCGATGTGGGTTCCCAGACCCCCCCACAGCGGAAATAGAGGTTTATTGTAATGTAATGTATGTATGTTATTTTATGTTTTCCTTTGCTTTTTCCTTTTCTCTTTTTTTTTTTTTTTGCACAGGACAAGAGACATAAACAGAACAGATGAACACAGATGAACGCAGACAGTGAGAGAATTATTAATAATAGACAGAGCACACACATCCCAAGACAAAAATATCAAGAACAGTTTAACAGCACAATTGCCTTGTTGGGTGCAGCATATATCAGTTTCCAACCCGCAGCCTGAATCAGGGACCCAGCCAATCCAATCGCCGTATCTTCTGCTTACTAGTTTGAGCGTCGGCTTCTCCTCCCATCATCGCCATCTTTTGGCGCCAGTCTCTGCTTTTCCCATTCTCACCTCCAGATCACCTCCAAAGTCAAGGACTGTCAACATCCTATTTATGGCAGGCAATTCCTGTACTTCCTCCCCTCAGTAGGATACCCAGCTTCTCATCTCCGTAGCCTGAAAGTGTCGTTCTGGCTTTCATTCTTCTCCTTCAACTCCTCCCTTGCGCCTATACTCCTCCTTGTACCCCTTCAAGCCAACCTCCTTCTCCAGGGAATCCAATCCTATCGCCATCCACGTGTCCTGCGCCAACTGCTCTCGATTTTTAGATCTAAGCAAAGGGTTACCCAACGGACCCCAGAAAGTAAAGCTGGCGGTGGAGACATTATTATTCACTCGTTCTCGCACCGCTTCTATCAGTCTTGTCAACCCATCTAATTTCCTCTGGGTTAAAGCCTTCTTCAACATCCTAAATTAAAGCCCAAGAATAGTAAACAGGGATCAGTAGTTGGCCGCTTGGCTTAGCTTCTTCTCTTTCACTGCCTCAGGGTAACTCTGGGCAATAGGTAAACTCCTCTGCCTTTAAGCCTCCTCATTCTCCTCCGAAAGCATCTCCAATATTTCCCACGATTCCCCTCATCATACCTTGGATAACGGAACCGATCAGCTCTGCGGTCCGGTCGTCCTGGCCAGTTCGTCGTCCTGTTTCCCTTTTGATTCCTGTATTTGTCATGTGCTCTTAATGTCTGCGCTGCAGTGAACGGAAGTTGGTTGACAGGGGCTAATCTAGCCAGCATTTTAACCTGGCGCAATTCGACCTGTTTCTTTCAATCTCCCCTCCTTTTGGTGGCTTGTCGCGGTTATATATCTCACCATTTTGCCTTATTGTTTATTGCATTATACTAACAACAACGAAATCCTTAAATTGCAGTCTTCTTTCCGGCTAGAATCCTCACCTGGTGCTGTTCTGACATCCTAACTTTGAGACGACGCACCTTTGGAGCAAATTACGTCCATTATAACCGACCGCTAGAACTTTCGGATTTGCCTACCGCTAGATCTTCTTAATTTGTTCACCTGCCGGTGATGCAGATTCATCAATATCTTGCAGAATCCGGATATTGACAACTACGTGTTGTCGGGGTCGTGATGGGCAATTCCCACGGGAAGCAGGTGTGCTCTTCAGATGCTGGTTTGTCACCTCCCTTACCTATATGTTTGGTTCCACTGTCCTGGTATCGTGTGTTGGAGATAGAAGCTTATATTTCGCTGCCACATAGTGAACCTGAACCACTTCCGACTCCTGCGTGTTGTTGGAAAGGGTGCATTTGGTAAAGTACGGATCGTTGAACGGAAAGATTCTGGATTGACATTCGCTTTGAAATATATACGGAAAGATGAAGGTGGGCTCAATCCACTCCTTCATCCTTTACATTGTGATCATACTGATGTTTCTTGGTTTGCTAAGTTGTCCGGTCCGAGAGTGTTCGAAACATTATACGAGAGAGACGAATGCTGGAACATTTGAATCACCCTTTCCTTTGCAACCTGAGATACTCATTCCAGGACATCGAGTACATGTATGTGCACATGCCTATCATGTTCAACTTGAAGCAAATTGAGGTGGGAAAATCTGCTAATTGTATCGTATAGATACCTTGTGGTTGACCTAATGAATGGCGGTGACTTGCGGTTTCATATCTCAAGGAAGTCCTTCACGGAGGATGCTGTGCGATTTTGGATTGCTTCGTTGGCCTGTGCGCTAAGGTACATACATTCGCAAGGCATAATCCACCGGGATCTAAAGCCGGATAATGTTCTACTTGATTCTGAGGGACACGTTCATTTGGCGGATTTTGTGAGTGGCACTGGATAACACGGAGAAATCGCTCTATAGATCTAACAACGGCATTCAGAATGTCGCTTCCGATTTTAAACCTTCGAAGCCACTCACCAGCAAATCTGGTACGCTGGCATACCTAGCCCCGGAAGTGTTTGAAGGGAGCGGGTATCTGAATGAAGTCGATTGGTGGTCTCTTGGGGTAACCTTCTACGAGTGTATTTATAATAAGGTATGACTCCGAGTTTGGTCGAGGCGCATACCAATCACGACTAACACACTACCAGAGGCCATTTGATGGGCGGAGCCATGACGCACTCTCTGAAAATGTTCGACGGGTGCAACCAAAATACTACGTTACAAATCCTGCTGTCACTGTGCCTTGTCTACGAGCGATCGCATCTCTCTTGGAAAAAGACCGGACAAAACGTATAGGCGCTGCTGGTTTTGATTCATTCGAATCCCATCCTTTCTTTGAAGACATAGACTTTGATGCCTTGGAACGAAAAGAAATTGCCCCGATCTTTACACCTTCTAGTGAAAAGACAAACTTTGATGCAACCTATGACCTTGAAGAGCTGCTTCTGGAGGAAGCACCATTGGAGGCACGAGCCCGTCGACAAAAACCTAGAGCGGAATTGAAGGAGGATGCGACGGCAAAGGAGATACGGGAAGACGAGCTACATCGAGTTATCGAGACTATGTTTGAGCCGTTCGACTACACAACCGTCTCATACAAAGGGTGTGTTCATATCCGCTTGGTTATTGGTTTGTCATTGCTGACGCATCCTACAGCACCGCCGCAGCTGCCATAGCAGCATCAAGGTTAGACCACCAAACCCCTACCTCTCATCCCAATCTCATTGAACTGGAACTCACCATTATTATTAGTAACCCGGAGGATTGTATGAATTCGACTTCCTCTACACATACCCGCCACGCCTCCCAACCCCGTTCCGGGAGTGGCTCCCCTTCCCTCAAGACCGAAAGATCTCTCAGCCGCTCAAACGCTTCCGATACGTTTAATTCGTTTTCCGAAACAGATCGCTATCCGCATGAACCGCAAAGACATGCCAGTGGAAGGCAATCAGGCTCGCCCCCCCGACGTCCACGGCCGTCGCCCACCTCACAACCAAATTCCCAAGCATACCACCCGCCACCCCCTATCCCTCAACGGAACCGTGGAGCCACGCGCAAGACGAGCAAAGGCGGGGGGGTACAGATGGTACTGGAGGAAACGGGAAGCTGGAGTAATCTTGCAGATCAGAGTTCAGCGGCACCTGGCGATGGAGATGGGGGGGGAGATGTTATTAAGGCCAAGGGCTCTTCTGGCTCTAATAGTGGGATGCTTTCGTTTCTCAGTCGGAAGAAGGGTCGTGAGCGGAGTCCTAAGCCAATGGAACCTGGTGTGCTTGGCAAGGAGGGTGCGAGGCAGATTATTAGCTGACATTTGATAAGATGAGAAATAAGATGATGAGATGATGGAAGATTGCAGACGTTTTTTTGTTGGTGGAGGTTGCTGCTAGACGGGGTCATCCGGGTAGAGGATGCAGGGGATATCGTATCGTTTGCTATTTCATATGAATTTGGTGTTTATCTGACGGGAAATTCTTCGGGGGAATCTCATTCGACGAGTCAGAAGTTTCGCAAGGTCTCCACGCGCTTAACGCATGTCGTTCTAGCCGGGATTTTTATTTTGACCATTGAGGAATCCGATCCACGGTCACCGTGGAACGCCCCAATCCAAAGCAGCAATCTTGGAACGTCACTTTCCATCTGAAACCTTGCCATGATGATGTGAATTTCTGAAACGTGTTGAACGGCTGAGACAGGAGTCTTACCGCGCAATATCCGATTCACGAATTCAATTTGCTGAGAGCGCATTACCTTCCCATGTCCTTGCGAATTTTTGCGTTTTGATGAATCAACGGCTCTTTTAACATTGGGTCAAACACCATTTTCAGAGAAAGATCTGGGGGTTATATTTCGTCTCTTTTGCGCTCCTCCACAGAGATGTATGGACACTTGAAATTGGATGCGCACACGTAATCGCATGTGAAATGAGAAATATGCGATTTTCTACTGCCCGCAGATCTGGCTGATATTTCTTCTTTCTTTTTTCTTTCTTTTTCTTTTTCTTCTTTTCTTCTTTCCCCCCCCCCTCCTCTATATTATCAATTTCTCTTCGATGCATTGCAGGCGGCTATTCCTTGTCATCTTCCGTTTTGTTCACCTCTTCTTGTTCATATTAATTTTTCTAATCTTTCCTGTTCAGTTTGACGTCTTGGATTTTTTTCAATTTGCTTCTATCCCTATTCCGTTCATATCTCCTTCACCTTTACCCGGCTTCCTTTTTAATTTCAGGGATTGATTGACCAGCGGTTCCGCTGTTTCTTGTCATGTTTCTCCTTTTATATTTGGCTCCACGTTTTCGTTTTACATGCTTTACATTGACATACCCATCGTATTTCGTTTCGTATATCTATTGAACGATTGTTTTTCGTATGCTGGCGCAAGTTATTTGATTGTTTTGATTTATATTTCCTCGCCTATTGAATTTTTGCTTTTGATTTGTCCAGCAATTTGCATACTTGAGATAAACCCATTTTGTCAACGAACATGCTCAATTCTCTCCTCTATTAATACCCTTACTCCGCTTGGTTTCTAAAGTGAATGTCGACCACTTGATAGACAATATCTTTGGCCAGAGATCAATCCCAAAGCTTTTTAGTTTATATATCCTTCTCTCTTTTTGGACGACATAGGATACATTATTATATCCAGGTTTATGCAACGTATAAACTAACTTAAACTTACACTCTTTACCGAGTTTCTGCAATGTTTGGTTTACTTTTCGTTCCTGACCTGAACCTTTAAATCATCCTCTGGTTCTTATTGGTTGTTCTATTCGGGTTTCGTTACTGCGGCAACCAGCCAGAATGAGCAATAAGCGTAAGTTGAGTAGAACTTGTAAGAGACGGACACACATTTTTAATATTAGACAGAATTGGATGAAAATTAAATGGTATTGAATCTTATTTTTGTACATAATTTTTGATTACAGTAATTGCTATTGCAGGTCTTGATTGCGCTGTAGAGTACATTCCAACCCTGTTCCTGTCATAGCGCCCAGCCTACCACCAATTAATACATCCAACCTTGGAACCTCGACTCCACTCACCATCCCCGCAATTCGCTGTTCCTGAGATCAATCAGGATTTCTTTGCACAACGTACCCGTTAAAAAAAAAATCAACATGTCAAAAAATTCTCTCCTTTAGTTCCTACACTTTTCTCCACTTAATAGTTTCTCTCTTCTCTCCGGTGTTTCGCCAGTCACGCTCCTCGCCACCCTCAATTGTTAAACACGGCAAATACTTACCCTCCTACAGCATACATTATTCACAGCCAATATTAAATACTGGAACCATATACTTACGGCATCGCAATCGGGATACGTACACCTGCTTTGCTCGTGATAGGTACAAATTCGTTCGTTCAATCTACTGTTGTCGTCTATACAGACCTCCGCCGAAATTTATACCTTTCACGGCCACGGTAGACTGCTCTATCACCTCACTACGCTGGCCATCATCCTTGTGTATTCCAGTCTAACCCAATTAGACGTGTTTCTACAATTAATAACTTGGGATATTCCTTTATTGTGTTTTGGATTTGAATGTATACGGGCCATCTTTTCCCTTCGAGGACCGTCTGTCATACTCAACTGCAAACGGCACATTGTGCATTAAACTTGAATTTGTGGCAGGGAGTTTTGGCGTGGAGAGGGAAAAGACCACGTTCGTCCGCGGGGCACGGTTGTTGTAACTAAAGAAGGCCCCCGCGACGAGGAACTACTGCGATCCAGTTTTAAATTTCCAGAAGCTGGACATTCGGGGGGCACCAGAAATACTTCCCAACAGCATAACCGCATGAATGCCGCACCACCCACACGAACGGGAGCGGGTCGAATACCGCTCTCGCGACCGCGATCGTGATCGGAGACAATACAGCTACCAGCGCGGAAACAGACACGATAGAAACGAATACACTTCCAACGCATACAATGATAATGACCGCGATGCCCAAGATGATGACAATAATGGCGATGATGTTTTCGACGATCAAAGACGGAGCAGACGCGCCCATCCCAATTCCTCTTCCCGTCCTATAGCCCGCCATTCAACGGCCTATCGAACACAGCCGAGCCAACACCACCAACAACGACGGACACGCCGTGGAGATTACGACTACGATGATGTTGACTACGATGAGGATTCTGAATCAGCTGTCATAGTCGTTGACTCAAGACCCAACTTTGCCCGTCCGCCAAATGTCAGACCCAGCCCTGTCCGTGTTGAGAGGCGGCGGAGTACAAGTCGAGCTGCGGATAATTATAATTCAGGGATTCAGAAGTCGAGACATAAAGCTAAAGAGTCGCCTGCCACCTCACCTGTTAAGAAGAAGGACCGCGAGCGAGATCGCGAGGGGAGACTGCAGCGAGATAGTACTGCGGATGAAGAACGTGCGATGAAGGGTCGTGTTAGGGATCGGAGGAAAGGGGAATGGGACGACAATGATCGTGGCGCTTTTGATACAGATAGAGACCGCGAGAGAAATAGGAGAAAAGAAATGGATACAGATCGGGCTAGAAATAAAAGGGTGCGGAGTAAGAAGCCTAAACATGCCAGTACTGATTCTGCGAATAGTGCGACAGTATTGCTCAATGCAGATGCGTTGGCGAAATTGAATGCAGCTACGTCAGAAAAGGAAGCAGAAGAGAAAGCTAGTGTTGAAAAGGAGGAGAGGGCTTTTTTGGAGAAAAAAAAGAAGAGGAGGAAGGAGGAGGCAAGGGAGAGAGACAAAGGTATCTTGGTCGGGAAAAGGGGGGAGAGTGGTGGCTGGTTTGGGAAGAGGTTGGTTTCCGGTGCGTTTTTAGAGGAAGGGAGAAGTCCAGAGTTGAGAACCCGAGGGGGTGGGTGGCGAGGTGCGGGAAAAGAGGAGAAAGGGGGGAGGGGGGGTGCAGGTGGTGGAGGTGGTGGTGGTGGTGGAGGTGGTGTTGGGGGCGGATTTTCCAGTTGGAGTAGGAAGAAGAAAATATGGGTTCTTGTTGGTGTGTTGGCGCTTCTATTGGTTATTGTCATCCCCATTTCCGCCTTGGTAGCGAAGAAAAAAGGTGAAAATCGTGATGGGGACTCTAATACGAAGCCGGGAGACTCGCCCCAATCGCAGACGCCACCAAGAAAGGAGTTGGAGAGTTTTGATGAGAAGTCCCTTCCAGTAAGATTCCATTATTTATATTCTTTCCTGATTCTGAAATACCCGCGCTGACTCTTTATTACCACAGGAGAGCGCTAAGAAAACGTACTTTGATCCCCGTACTTGGTATGACACGGCAGATATGAATGTTACATACACCGAAGAAACAGTAGGTGGCCTCCCTATTATGGGACTGAATTTGGCCTGGGACGATTCTGCCCAAGCAAACGAACATGTACCCCCACTAAACAAAAAATTCCCCTACGGCAAGCAGCCGATTAGGGGAGTTAATGTTGGCGGCTGGCTCTCCCTGGAACCCTTCATAACCCCTTCATTCTTCAGCCAATACTCCTACAAAGCCAACATCGTTGACGAGTACACGCTCTCCAAACGCCTTGCGCCAAACGCAGCTCAACAGTTAGAAAAACACTACGCAACATTTATAACCGAGCAGTCCTTCCGAGAAATCCGAGATGCTGGTCTCGATCATGTCCGCATTCCTTACTCCTACTGGATCGTGAAAATTTTCGATGATGACCCTTATCTCGAAAAGATTGGCTGGCGATATCTCCTACGTGCTATCGAGTACTGTAGGAAATATGGCTTGCGTGTCAAACTCGACATGCACGGTGCACCGGGTAGCCAAAACGGGTGGAATCACAGCGGTCGCCAGGGCTCGATAAACTGGCTTCAAGGGCCCGACGGTGCCAAAAACGGCGATCGCACTCACCAAATTCATGAACAGCTGGCTACATTCTTTGCGCAGGAGCGGTATAAGAATGTGGTTACTATCTATGGGCTCGTGAATGAGCCTATGATGCTGAAGTTGGATATCGAGACTGTTATTAACTGGACTACGAAAGCAATATCGATAATTAGGAAGAGCGGCTTGAAGGATACAAAACTTGCGTTTGGAGACGGGTTTCTCAACCTGAGTAAATGGAAGACGATTATGCAGGATGTTGATAATAATCTCATGTTGGATACGCACCAGTATACCGTTTTTAATCTAGGCCAGATTGGACTAGTACATCAGAAGAAGCTAGAGTTTGTGTGCGAGAGCTGGGTTAAGTTGATTTCTAATTCGAATTCGAAAGGCGCAGGGTAAGCGCTCTCTGTCTCTTTCACTCTTTCTCTCGCCTATTTAATACCTACTCCCCTTTTTGAAGAATTCTTCCAACTAACCTCTCCGTCGCCCATTCTGCAGCTGGGGCCCCACCATCTCCGGCGAGTGGTCTCAAGCAGATACCGACTGCGCCAAATTCCTCAACAACGTCAACGTCGGCAGCCGCTGGCTAGGTACAATGGACCACCCGCAGGCTAAAGACCAGGTCTTGGAACCCCGCTGCCCGACCCAGTGGCCTCGAGACAATCCCGCCGCTAAAGGTCCTCCCTGTTCCTGCGACCGGGCCAACGGTGACCCATCCAATTATTCAGAATCGTACAAGAAGTTTCTACAGATGTATGCTGAGGCGCAGATGTTTGCGTTTGAGAAGGGAAATGGGTGGTTCTATTGGACGTGGCAGACGGAGGCTGCGGTGCAGTGGAGTTATAAGAAGGGGCTTAATGCGGGGATTTTGCCGCAGAAGGCGTATGAACCGGGGTTCAAATGCGAGAGTGACGCGATTGCGGCGTTTGGGGAGCTGGATGAGTTTTACTGATTTTAATTAATGTTTGTTGGATGGTTGAGTGTTTTTGGCACTTTTTGCATCGTTCTCTTTTTGTACCATATCCCTTACGGCTGTGGTTTTTGCATGTGGGCTTAGCATTTGCTTTTCTTTCTCTGTCTTCATACTCCGTATCTGTCTTAGATACCTTTGCGGAGTATGTGTCCTCTATTTCGAAAGAGCAACTGTTGCATTGTACGGTTGCGTCTGGTTGAAATTGAACAGTCTTACATAAATTTTCAGATGAAAAAAGTTCATCTCGGAAGCTTGAGATGCTTTCCTCTAAGACGCTTTTCTGCATCTCCATTGTCCATGCCACTCGGTGAAGTAGTGGAGGTGATCAATATTGTGTGGCCTTTTTATGTCAACAATTGGTAGTTCTTATATTTATTATATGATATCCATGGGTAGGATTTTAATAACCCCATCTGTAAATGATATCCTGTTGTGCAAAAGGGACAAATACACGAAACCGAAAAACTACCGTCGCTTTCCAATGAAAAAAAGTTTAGCGTATTTCGTTAGCTTCTTGAACCTGCATTAGGATGCTATCTGATAGGCACCTGTGAACAATTGTTCCAATCACATTTTCCTGCTACTTCGGATCCGGGTTGGTGGTTTTGCCCAGCAATTTTTATGCAACTTTAAGCCATCCTGGCTTCGCTGAACAACCTTGCGCGAGGGGATATTAAATAGGCATGCATGCGTGCAATATTTTAGTCAAGACAAGTTGCACAAAGAAGGAATTTGTGGTTGTTTTAGAGACGGGAGCAGATATCTTCACAAAATGAAAACATTTCTCAACGTACTTTTGGCGCCGGGACAAGCTCCCCATGGCTCTAAAGGCTCGGGTACCAGAAAGCATCCTTCGCGATGTTAATGCCAATAATAAAATTTAAGGAACCTAATTGTTTGTGAAGCAAGCAAATTGGCCCTCCACAGCGCATTGAGCCGTTGATCGTTGCTGATGTCTCTGTAGTTGAGGGAGTCGTTTATCAGTCTTGGCTGAGGCTGAAATATGGTTGGTGGAGGCTAAACTCAAAAAGTTTTACATGAATGAGCTAGTATAATTTGGGTTAGCTTAAAGTACAGTTATCCACCTGCGTCATGTAAGGCTGAGGGCGATGTTAGTTCTTGGCTCAGTTGAAACCTTAGTGGCATCGGCCCTAACCTAAGTACAGTACATTATCCTTCCTCGTCTTTTGCTTGGGACGGCTTCTGCCAAACTAGAAATGATAGCAAGAATCGTGCACAGACGTCTCTCCCGTGGCGCAAGCAGAATTTATCACCATCGCCTATTTTGCCCTCACGGGTGAAGGGGGGCCTGTACATACCACCCTTCCCATCGGGTGCCCAAGAATCCTTCATGCCACTGTTCCAGAATTGAAAGTTTTAAAAAAACAATTGAAGAAGAATTGCTAAGTTTTCGTTCAATGAACGCACTTTGAGTGATGGATGGTAGCAAATGCCAGCGAGACTGTCACCAACCTTTGGAGGCTGGCTGCCAATGACCTCTGTGAGTTGAGACGGACGTTGGTGGTCGGAATCTGAGTAATGATAACTATGAAATGTACGATCTACGCTGTTCCGTAGCTGCAATATTCCGGACATTTCGATGCCATTGCTATTCCTACATTTTTTTATGGATATTTGTGGTTCATGGTGACGAACTCCTCGGATGTGCAGTACCTGTAGAGTACTTGCCATGAGTTGGACACTTGATTCGACTGACACTTTTAGATGAATGTGTACGTGAGAACTCCAGGTAGTCGAATTGTAGCTTGCAACTTTTCACAGGATATAGGACATGGAATTTTGAGTGATCACCAGGGAGAAGAGGGGAACAGTTGAGACATGGATTTGCAAAGGCAAAGATTGACATCCTTGCAAAGCTGCCGTCAGTCCTGGAGACAGATGACACTACCGGAGCTATGGGGAAGCGTTGATGGGATTGATTACATTATGGGAGTGCGCTTCCAACTCGTGGGTTGAGGGATAACTAGAGCATGGGTCGAAGGTTGTCCTGGATTACTGAATAATTTCTTCCGTAAGAACTTGAAATTCAGGTTGGGAACCCCTTGGGACCGCCAGACTGGTTCACATCATAGGCTAATCAAATCGCATTCCCACACTTCTCATGATAACCAGTTGGGGACAAAAAGTTTGATGGAATGTGATGCAAGAGACATCCGTATAAAAGAAAAACATAACGGACTGTAGAGTGTGGAATATAGCAAAGATAGGAAGGAGGGCTTCCGAAACATTAGATACCGCGATGGGCAGGGTGGAATAAAAGTTTATAACATTTGAACAAAAATTGAGCCAGCAGACAGAATTAAGGGTCGAAATATGAAACAAATACCCCGACTCCGACGATAAAATTCTAAATGCACGCAGTTGCTAATTTCATAGTTAAAGTATTCTGACACTAGGGTAAGGAAAATGCCCTTGTGATTATATACAGAAACGCAGAATATCATGCCGGAAATAAAACAAACGTCAACAAAGCATTAGCGCGCCTCATTCTGAACGCCAATGACCTATATACATCGGAGGTTTATCGGGATGAAACAATTAAAAAAAGAAGCACATCATCAAAGATCGCCAACATTATCATTAGGTATGCCTAGAAATAAATTTTCTCCAACCCCGTGGAGATGCAGGTTCGAACTCGCTTTTGCCGATGGGGTATTGGGGTTCGACTCCCTTCTCCACATCAGCCCCTAACGGCTGTGTCGATCCTCTCAGGGACGCATGCTTGTCTTTGGGTGCACTTGATTTGCTGGGCTTCGAGGAATCTTTTGCATTCTGTTGTTTCGACGATTTAACTTCAACAGGGGCGCGCATGGAAATTTCTCGATTTCTCGTTTTCCTTGAAATTGCAGATGGGGCTGATGAAAATCGTCGAGGCGTAAGAGGAGCAGTAAGACGCCTTGCTGAGCGACGTATTGAGGCGCGGACTTCCCATTGTCGTCTTTTAGCAAGATAGAAAAGGATGACGGATGTTACTAGCCGCGCATTTTGATGTTAGCCACAAATAAAATAATGCTGCATCTAAAGAGATGGCATGACTTACTTCCCAGAACAACAACAATACCTACAATCACAGCTATTGCGATTATCCCCCCTTGAGAGATGTTAACTGAGCTCCTCCCAGATTCATAATACTCTTTATTTGCATCATCGTCACCGATACTGCCCGGGATAACTTCCCCACGCTTTGACAACCCAGGGTATGGAGTGTCTACTTGATGTCGAACTTTGTGCAAGGTAGTGCTGAGGCCGCAACATAAACGGGGGGTAGTCGCCCATAAAATGAAGAGGAGAGGTCGCTGAACTCGAAGAAATCTCATCTTGAGAAGACAACTGTACCAAACACAGATGTAAACAGTCATAGGAGAGGGAAGAAAGCGCTCAGTTGAAAAAAGGACAAAATGGAAAATGATCGAAGAGTATCAAATCCAGGAGAGAATTTGCCAGTACGGCAGTAAAGGGGAAACAAACATAATAATAGAAGCGTAGAATAAAATTTATTCTGGCTGAATTTGGGAGAATGGCTGCTATATAGCAGTCAACAAGGGGAGCTGGTGCATGAATCAAGGAATTTCCTGCCCTTAGATTCTTGGGAAATCTTGAGGGGGATCGTATTGATTGGTAAGTCCATGGCGGGCATGCGACTGCAGATTGGTGCTTAGAACTTGAGCGGGCTTCAGATTTCCTCAACTTCTCAGTTTCGCGGCCCCTGCGATCAACCGAAATCGTGATAGTATTCTATGAAAGAAGTTTGTTTGGTCGAGTTAGCGCTTGCAATGTTTCCTTAAAACCCTTAGCTGAAGTTTCACGAGCCAATCATGACCAATAATCCCCCATATTTTTCCGCCATCGACACGCTAAGGCGACGCCCTAGACGGCTCAGGGTGATTCACAATGCATCACACAAGATCTTCATGCTCCTTCACAACTTTCACATCAATCACGAAAAAGGCGCACCTTCACCAGTTATCAATGGTTATCAAACCTGGAGTGAGGTTTGTAGTGCAGCATGTGCAGTGTCTGATTTTCAGGATAAGGGAACAATTCTTCCTGATCCATGGATGTTTGAGTGATGGGCCGAATTTAACTACAGACTTCAGACAAATCACGTCCTCGTTGGCTCGTTGATCACAGAAGAAAGCCATAGGATTCAAGTTCAAATTCCGGCACTGACCTTTTCATGTCTGAATCATAAAAATGGCCAATGATCTTTACCATCAGCACTCCTTCCTCAGAGTTCAAATTTTTGATCTAAATATTTTAACCTTCATGAAACCTGTGGAGGTTTATTCCTGGTTCTGGTATCTCGACAAACTTGAAGTGTTGGAGATGCCAGTCTGTTTCTAGCCTTGCTGTTCGGGTGAAGCTCTGACCCTAGAGTCAATGGTGATGTGAATTTTTTTTTTTTTTTTTGAAATATCTTATTATCTCCATCCAAGGTGCAACATCGACTGTAAAGATAGAGTCGAAGGAAGAAGTGAGATCACGCGCCTCAAGATTCCTGAAAAGTTTCATCATTTCTGCTGCAAACAAACTGACGAGAAAGGCCAATAGCCGTTCGATCCATAGTTGTCTCATAAGATCCGCAGCAGACTTTTGGCATGGGATTGGTCCTGGAATATATCTCCAAATATGGAGCATGCCATACCAAATACTTCCAGCTCCTGTTTTTTTGTCTAGTCTCTGGAAGTTGAGGACAGACGAAGTTGACCATGAGGCGGCTCTGCAGAACTGGCCCAATCGGGTAAGGCCCATTTGAGCCTCCTCGACGTCACCCCTTTCAACCTCATATTCGTTCGACAGATCTCTCTGCTGTTGTGGTCAGTCTCTGGACTTTGGTCAGGGAACATTAGCAGGGGAAGCCCGGGTTTTCAGAGTAGGCCTAATCCTCTGTTATGGCCATTGAGTTAATTACCTCATTTACCCCTAGCTCAAATCAATTGCTCTGGAACCCATACTTCTTCCCTCTACGGGCATCACTTGTTTAGTGAGCTATCAGCCTGTCTTGAACATTTAGTTCATCGTTGTACTGAAACCACTAGAGTCTGTGCAAGTAAATTGCGCCCTTTAATATAAAGACCTTCATTGCTGTCATCTCCCCGGTTGGGTGGCATGCCACCTCTGGCATTATGGCTTCCAACCTCCAAATTCCACCGGCCGAAAACCACATCATCGGGAACGAAGGGTTTCCCCTGAATGCATTCAATGATGAAGCTGCTCTCTCCCCCATGTCAAAGAAAATTCTCGAGAAATTTGCTATTCCCCTTGCCCCGTTAACCCTGAATAAGGATAAGGATTTTCGCATTGCACCCACGCTGATTTCCCGCCCCCCCGATTCCGGCTTTGATACTAGCGGGCTTAATTTTCATTTTGCGAAGCCCAAGCTTCCAACTCCTAACTTCACTTCACATTCGAAAGCTCAACGCGGTGCTTCAATTCCAAGTCCCTTAACTACCCCCAGAGTTAGCCTTAATTGCCCGACAGAAATTAGCCAGACTCGTGCTCAGGTTATGGACTCTGACTTAAGGTGAGCCGTTCCTGTCCCTCATTTATGCGATAAATGAGTTAACACCAACTATTAGCTATGCCCCGGCTTGTCTGAAAGAGCGTCCTGGCGGCAGCAGCAGCAGCAGCAGCAGTAGCACAAGCTACTCATCAAAATTACACGACGTCCAAGGCACTGCTGAACTATCTCTTGGACCGAATTCTGGGATTCTCTGCATTTCAGAAAATAGTGTTTGCCTCTCGGAAAGTGGGAATCGAGATGAGGATTCTCAGCTCGACATGGGAGCCGGTGAGGAAGACTGCGATTTGACAGGTAGGCCTAATCAAATATGTTTTACCCACACGAGACTAATATCTGATATTTAAATACAATATTTAAATATAAAGCTTCGCGGAATGTGCACAAAGAAGTAAGTAGAGGCCTGAAAGGCAGCCCATGATTAATCGAGCTCATTATTTCACTACGTTTGTTGTTCGATTTAATTATATTTTCGGTGATGCATTTTCGTCGGTTGTATACGTGATTTGCATCTCACTATGTTACTATTTATTGTAAACCCAAACTACAAGAGCGTTGTCATGAAGATTTTAACTAGTTGAAGACTCGAGACGAACCCACGAAGAAAGGTACATCGCATCCCGTTATCAGCTCACCAAGCACCAGCAAGAGTCGCAGCAGAGAGCCAAATTCACGTTCTCCACATCCGCTACCAAATGATACTAGGCCACGATCGAAACAAATGTCAAGTTCAAAGGTCGCAAAACGGTCGTTGTCTCCAGCGGATGGCCGCAGTAGCGCTCCCACAAAACCGGTTACGCTCCGGAAAGAGCCCTCATATACATCTCAGCCATCGGAAGAGGATCTTTTTTACATGTTGATCCGTAAGTTGAAAAAACGCGATGAGGCGGAAGCAGCAACCAGTGCAATAAAGGAGCGCATGGAAATAGTTATAGATGAATTAACCCAAGAAAATGATAACTTGCGCTGCAAATTGAGGGATGTGGGACTCATTTGCAAAAATCAGAAAGAACAAATCAACGCTCGCAACTCCCTTGTTGAACGCTGGAAAGAAAAGTTCAGTAGGTTGCGGGGATTCGTAACGAGCGTGGGAAACGATTTTGAAATTCTTCGAAAAGAAGGACAACTTCTCAAATCTGCACAAGACTCATTGGTTCAAGAGAAAGAACATATTAACGAGACCCTGAAGCTAATGCACGATAACACCGACCAGTTGAAAATACGTTGGGACCAGCATCGGGCAACAATTTCTGGAGTGCAGCATGAGTGTAGCTCGTTGGAGAAGTCTCTGTCCACAGCGGCTGGAAAGTGTGCTGATGCTGAGAAGCTCATTTCTCTGGAGAGGAGTCGCGCGGCCATGCTTGAGAACTACGTAAGGAATTATGCTAATAGGAACCAAAAGCTAGCGGCGGAGATCCAGCAACAGCAGTCCCAAACGATAACAAAAATCGATGAAATTTACAGGCATCTTGAAGGTAGCTGGAATGTCTCTCAGTCTTCAATGAAAAAGGAAATAGAATCAGGATTTATCTCGTGTCTTTCCTTGTTGAAATCACTTACTCAACAGGAGTCTGTGAAACGCCAAGACCTAGAGAGCGTTGATAATGCAATTCGGGATCTCTGCACTCAGTAGGTTTGAATTCGATTGTCCCATTGGTTATGATAAAACTAACAGCACTATAGGCTCAGTTCGTCCGTTGAAGTGTCTCACAAAAGCTTGGAGACAGCATCTGACTTACACACTAACTGGGTGCAACGGATATTGACTCAACTCACAGAGCTAGAGACGGCCATAACCTCCAGTGCAGCAACTTTCGGTCAACTTGTAGAAGCTCGAGAATTGAACGGAAGCCTTCAAGAGAAGCTCAAAACGGTTGAAAAGGATCTAGCTAGAGTATCTGCTGATTGTGAGAGACTCATTTCTCAGGAAGAAACCTTACAACGACATATTAGAGATCTAGAAATTGAGATTGCGTCACTACAAAAGGATGAAGGTGGGAATACCCAGCTCAAAGATGTCGACATGTCTTCGGAACTTCAGATCCAACTTGAGGCAACCTCAGCGGCGCTTATGGAGGTAACAGATGAGATAAAAACAAAGGAAACCGAAATGCAGGAGATGGAACTCAAGTTAGCTGAGACTGTTCGAAAGTTGGAGGGTGCAGTGGGTGAAATTGCAGATCTCAAGAACGAAAAGTTTAAGATTCAGGAGGAGGCCCAGAGGACAGAGCAGCGGGTGCGGAAAGAACTAACACGGGCAAATTTAGCCGCGAAAGATCAACATATAGCATTTTTTGAGCAAGAGAGGCATAAACTCAGACGTGAAAAGGTTTTAGCGGACAAAAAGACTCTGAAAACAGCGGAGGAACTAGCCATAACTAAACGCACACTGGTAACTTTTCCCTGATCGGTCCTTATTGTCCCTGGCAACTGACGCTGCATAGCATGACGCGGAGAAGTGCAAAGAGAAAATTATTGAGAAGGTAAGACCTGTGCAAAATCTTAAGAATGGCGGTCTATTATGCTGACAAGTCTCCAGATGAATTTACAACAGGTGGAAATTGATAATTTGAAATTGGCATCCTCCAAAGAGGATTCGGATATTGCCATAGAAGCAGAGAAGTCAAAAGAAAGTTTTGCATCTGCAACAAAAGAGCTACAAAGTGCATATGATCAACTTGAGGGTGTATCGAAAGAGAACGAAAAGCTGAAGCACGAGCTATCCGAATTACGTGTAAAGCTAGCAACGCAACAAGAACAAGAAAATATGCAGGAAGCGTTGGAGGTCCTTCAGTATGAGATTGCAGAGAAGGATTTAAGCTTGCTGTCCCTAAAGGGAGAATTATCAAAATCGGAGGAGAACATTAAGAAGGTCTCAAGTTTGCAACAAGAGGTGCTTGATAAATATGCTGACATCACAATTTTACGAGAGAGGCTGAATAGTGTAACTTCAACGAACGCTGTAATCGCAAACTCGCTGGAAAAGAAAAACGAAGAGCTGGCTGCTCTTGAGCAAAGAATGGAAACATTCGGGAAAGCCGATGCTGAAATTTCGATTCTAAAGAGGGAAATTGAACAAAAGGATAGCGAAGTTTTACAACTTCGATCTCAGATTCAAGAAGCCGACAGTCTGTTTGCAAACGCAGAAAATATTCTGAGGCAGCTTGGGGTTATTGGGGTCGAAGAATCATTACGAGATTGCTCCGACGTGCTACAGACGCAATTGAGACTGATAACTGGAGGGACAGAAGGTGGACAACAGCTAGGACCAACAGCATCGCATCTTATCATGCCTATGAGGACCTCATCGAAGCGACAAGGCACAACCAGAAAACCTACCATGTCGTCCACTTATGCTCAATGTGCGGGGCCTGGTTCGTCCACCAGAGAAAGCAAAACAATCGACTTAGTTTACCGAACGCGGAGTATTCGGGAAAATATTTCCTCTCCTTTCAGGACGCCTTCTAAACAAGAAGGTGGTAGTAAAAGACAGCAAACGACTTCTCGCTCCGATATCAAGCCTTTCTCTAGACTTCAGAATGATTTGACACTAGATGTGTTCCCCCGAGAGCAATCATCACCCATGTCTGAATTTACGGATTTGAATGCGCTGTTTCCGTCAACACCTATAAATGTCAAGGATGTCAGCACCCGCGAATCATATACGGCACTTTCGCAATTAATCCTCACTGCCGATAACACCTTCCCTTCGAGCCGTGGACGGACTAATCCACATGGGTCAAGTGTTCCGTCAATTTCAAACGCAGTTAATGATGTTATTGTTGCCTCCCGTTTCGGAAGAGAAGCTAAAGATGCCAGTGAGGGCATAGTAAGCCAGGGTGCCCAATCAGGTTATTCTGCCAACGAAGCTGGAAAGCGGGACAGTTTTCGAATTGACAACCAGACTCGCACCCAGCCTGAAACAGCCATCGGGGCGCAAAAAAGGAAAGAGATGGCCGATGGCGGCGAATCACAAGTTAGGGTAAGTTAACCGGAAAGCCTCAACTTTTCCTCAATTTTTGCATATCAGAATTTCGGGATATTGACAAACAAATTGGCTCACTCGTGTAATACCTTTTGCAAAGCAGGACAACGCAGCTGATTGTCAAAACCCCCCTGAGAAGCTGCCACGCAAAGGGATTCTCAAAGAAACAGTGAAACTTAGCTCGTTTACGAAGTTAAATGATATTAAGACTCCGCCTCACGAAAGAGACCTGGGTGGAAAACCGATCCGCCCGAGTTCCACAATAACATTTAGGCGACCGTCTCGCAAATCAAAATACTTCAATCCAACAATGAGTCCGACAGCTTCTATCACTGCTAAGGTGGGCAAATGTGGTAGTACAGCCAATAAGCCGAACACACCAGCCGGGAGGGCGAGGGAAAGGCCTCGAAGAAGACCACGAGGTAAGGGTAACGTACTTATAATTCTTGGGGCGAGATACTAACTCCAGCAGGTGAGCTTTACAACAACAGGTTCTCCCAGAAAACCCCTGCATAAGTAGCTGCGCTGGTGGCATGAAATTTTGATGATCTGGGTCCATTGTCAAATTGCTCAACTCCGATGAGATGGTCGTGGATTATTTCCGGAAAATGAAGGAGGAGTGGGAGGTATGGAGACAGGAAAAGTATATATATATACCTTAGGCGATATAATTTGCAGAGGTCTGCATCCACTCATTGAGAAGATCAAACAAATTACCAAAGAGATGGGAATGCCGAATGGATATTTAACAAAATGTATATATATATTCAATGGAGCAGCTTTATGAAAAATGTCAACAACGCCAGCCTTATATGCAGAAAAAATTAGTTGCTTGCACAAGACTCGTAGTATACAGGTCCGTTCTCACCACCACCAGAATTGACTGAGGCCCTAGACAATAGAGCCATTTCGCGCATGTGTATATTCTTTACAATTGAAACATAGTGCACCTTCTCAACAATACATATCCAGTTGACCCCATTCAACCGTATGAAATCCACAATGCGACCGGCGAGCTCGTTCCGCATCAAAAAAGCTCCGTCAAAAGGTAGCAGCCGCACCTCTCCATCCCCCGGAGTCCTCTTAATACTAGCACTTATCGCCAATGTTTGTGAGGAATCGCTTTGGGAGCCCCACATCTTTTTCCACGCCGATAAAGAGATTGCAAATTTCTGTAAGCGTGTTTACTTCCCACGCTTGGCCTCCAAGAAAAGCACTTTCTTCTTCACTACGGGGTCGTATTTCAGCATGCTGAGCGGCCTGCTGGTACGAGGTCGGACGAGAGTCTTGTAGTAGCCTGTCATGGCCATGCTGATGATTCGTACGGCAATGGTACGAGATTTGGCTATTCCAAGAGGAGGGAAACAAATGAGAAATGTCAACTTGTGTGTTTTCTTAAATAGCAATCTCTGAGGTGGGTAGAGCACCCAGGATGCGAAATTGATAGAATAATAGAACAGAATATCCATACCTTTCTTCGCCATTTTGCGGAGGCCCTAGTAATTTGCGGAGGGAGAACTTCGAATGGGGAGGTGCTTGGTTCGATGGGCCCAATCGATTAAACAGTAGATTGCAATTTCAGAGCATTAGATGTAGCCCACTTCTTGGAGGGATTGGCTTCGTTGCCAGCTCACACGTCTATTTTTTTGATTTGCGATGCAGCGATGGAGATTTGCGCCAGTTGACTTCAGGATTTGAGAACCACGTGACCAAGAAATTTGGCTGTGTGGAAATACACATAAATACTTGATTCAACATTACTTGAACGTTGTCCCAATCACATCACGACTCATCTTACCTGGAACGATAGCAGGAATCATTTCATTGTGTGGGCTAATTCGGGAAGAGAGAGTCCCCAAATCTTTCCCCCTTGAAGTGCGGCTTGATTCGAACCGGTTTGCCCCTTCGAGTCAATTATATTCTGAATTCTTGCCCTTCAACATTTTACAGAAGGCTATCTCGGGACTTCTAAAGGTTGCTCTATATCCGGCTGGTCATACTTCTTCATGTTTTGTAAGTACGAGCAACAGCAGGTCCAGAGTCTGCAGGCCAATTCCTCTTCTAACCAGGCTGTACCGGTGCTTTCAGTATGAAATTGCGTCAATATTATATCTCCGATTGGGACCTTTCACTGTAGCTCGTCGATTCTAATCTTATGTGACGAGGCTTAACAACCCTGATCTTGAATTCTTCCATGGCTGGGACTTGACTATCGTTCCGTTGAAAACATCTGCCTGCAGATAACCATCCGCATTATGTTATGGCGGGAGCAGGGATCCGATTCCCAGATGAGGAATTTCGCCACAGCAACAAGCCACTGCGCTAAGTTATCTGAAAGGACTGCCACCTAATATGACTACTGTTCTGCATGAAACGGAAGCGAACTATGGGATTTCATGACCCATCGCGCCGTTCCAAACACGGTGGGTCCCCTTATTATTTTCATACCTTTCCATTTTCTCCCTCCCTTGTTGATTCGGATTCCGCAACACCATCCTCCGCCTGGATGAACCCTGAAAGTTGTTCACCCGAAAAATTCCTTAGACTCAAGCAAAAGGATTTTTTGCAAATGATATTTGCCTTGAGAAAGTCACTATGACATTCTCACTTTGTATATCCATCACAGTCTGAGTGATATTTGACCTGGAATTTTATTTTATTTTTAGACACACGTTATAGAGAGCTATTCACTGGGATATATGACTGTCTTTTGCCTAGTGATGTCCTGCGAAGATAAATGTGCATGGAAAGTCTGTGATTTGTGAGCATATGAGATATGACAGAACAAATACTTCACTATGTACCATATAAGCATATAGAAATCCTCCCTAGTACACAGAGGGCATGTGGTATTCTAGGCTTTCCATCAAGACACCAGGTGGGAACCTCATATGGTTTGCCATGGCGCTCATACACTACAGCTGTCCTCAAATTGTCGAAGCTCAAAACACAGAGAGGAATGTTGTGCAGCGTAGGATCTGCCTGGATTGTTCTGGCTCTTGAAATAGATCTAAATATAGATGGTCATGGAGATATAAAAGGAAGAAGTTCAGGAACGCATCTTTTGATTGCACATGCACACGTGCGATCGTGGCCTTGATTAGAATTGCGGGCATGTATCCCCTCTGTCCAGTTTGTTCTGGGCCATAGTCCTCAATCGGCTTGTTGAGAACAGCATTTGCTGCCTCATTTTGTTGCGAAGTTTAGGAGAAGAGCTCTGAAAAACCAAGGATCCCTTCCAACGATGATTTGTGACGATGTACAGCCATTATCGATGGTTTCGCTCATCTGAGGGACTATTCCTAAGCCTCACCGAGAGGACCTTCGAAGTTGGCACGTACAACTATTTGTATCGTGAGAAGAATATGGAAATGGTGCGTCGGTTTTGTCTCGGGACGAGCACCGTGTTCCAGGAACGGGTATTTTGCCCGTGGCCGAGTTCTGTGCTCGTTCAGCACGAAGCAGGATCCATGATACAGGATCATACAATCAGAGGAGCTATGTAAAGCAGCAGCAGCAGCAGCAGCAGGAGGAGGAGGATCACACGAGTCATCTAGTAAGCAAATGTATATCCCAAACTTGTTGTCTGTAGCAGACACAATAATTGAAGGGGAAAATATAAAACAATGAATTTTTGAAGTGAATATCTATCAGAAAGATCCCACGAATAAACACCACTGGCGAGCAAAGATTGCGCAGCCTAGGGCTAGGAACAAGCAGGGCAGGGCTGCTACACAGCAGCAAAATTCCTGTGGTTCTCCCTCTTGACAAATTCAATCAATGTTCTTAACAGATCTCTTTTTCCCCCCCCCACCCCCCCAACATGTGCATATCCCACAAAATGATATACAATCTCCTTATCCTCAAACTTTGCCTTCTTCTCAAGCCGCAGACTTTTCCAAGTCATCCTTGCCAAGATGCGCCTGCGGATGCTCGACAATTTTCGGCACATGGTTGGTGAGTAAGTATTTGATCGGGCGCAGAGCGATGGCAGACGCAGTTGCTACAACCCCAAATGGAATCGTTGTATAGTAGATATAACGATAGGCAGCTGCGTATCCTTCGAGCTGAGCTCTAGTCACAGCAGCGATGATTTCGCTGTTGATTCCAGGAACAGAGGCCATTGCTTCAGCTGTGGCCTTAGCTAGGGCGGCGAAGAGGTCAGCGAGCGACGATTCAGGAAGGCCTGCATTGAGTGCGGCGGGCACGACATGGGCTTGGAGTTCGACGGGAATTTTTGCTGGAAGATGTCAGCGGTAGAACTTCTCTTATATATATAAGGGCAGTTTTGAGACTCTTACCAGACAAGATAGCCAAGACGATGGCAGTCCCAATCACACCAACACCAACTCTCACACATCCCATAGTTCCGAACGAGGTTCCGATGTGTTTATCGCTCACCACCAGCTGAGCAATAGCTCCAGTCTGTTGCTCAACAAAACCGATGGGCAGCGCAGCAAGGAATGAACAAGCAATTGCGAATTTCTTATTGTCCGGATTACAATGAGCCAGGGCTGCGGTAAAGGCAACCATCCACATTTTCGAGACGATCAACGTCATTTTTGGATGTCCGATGGGGCCTGCTTCGATATTAGAATTCTTGGGTCGGCTAAAGGGTTTTATATTACATACCCCACAGAGGCCCTAGGAAGACCATTCCTCCCCAGAGGCCGAAGCCAACTGTACAAGATATAGCTGCGACGGTTTCCCAGGTCGATCCGGCACTGTACATATATGCGACCTCTGCCCATTTGTCAGCGCAGACTATTATTAGTGAGTAAGGAAGAAAACACTAACGAGTTGGCCAAATGATGCTCAACGCGGTATATGAAATTCCTCCCACTGCCGAGCATATGCAGTTCATTCCAAAACCCCAAACGTCTTTGAATAGATGAACAGCAAAAAATGCGTTCTCTCCCTGAAAGTGCTCCCACACACAAAGGGCTATGAGACTAATGCCCCCTGATACGACCATTCCGATTATCTTGGCTGTTGAAGAACATGATCAGCCGCTGCAGACCTAGAACCAGATTCGTGTAATACTTACCAGATTTCCAAGGATATGGAGATCCACCAGTCATGATGCCGACAATAAATAAGACAAGGCCGGCAAGCAAGAGAAATATTCCGACAAAGTCCAGTTTCTTCGTTTGCTCGAGCTTATTGTAAGCCTGGGCTGCTTCCCTTGGAAAGTAGAAGAAGTAGTATAGGGCAAGGGAAATGGCTAGATATCGTTAAACAAATTTACTAGGCACACTACTCGGGTGGGTAAGCTTACTCTGAGCAATAATATAGATGTAATAAATCCATCTCCACGAAGCATGTTCGACGAGGGACCGTGCAAGATACGCGCCCAGGGATGTTCCAGGAAGACAGAAGATAACGACAATGGCCATACCAAGCATCTTGTGCTTATTAGGCATGAGTTCTAATTCTTGATCAGCATGTCTGCGCGTAGGTGTGGCATAAGGAGGAGCCCACCTCCGGCTAGAAACGCATAGCAACACTGAGCACCAGTTGAGAGACCAAGGAGGACCTGAAGGAGATAAGGTAAGTGAAAACGTTTTACCAAACAAGACAGAATCAACTTACATTTGCTCCAACGAAAGTGTTGAGATCCTGGGCGGTTCCGGCAACGATGGCTAAGGGGACATGAGCAAGATTTAAGAGAAATGAAAGGAGGGAGAGAAATATAGGTAATCTTACATCCGACCAACCCAAAAAGAGTGAATATAATCATAACCCATCGTCTGCCGTATATTTCGGACAAACGACCAACGAACATATAGCCAAGAGTTGTCCCCAGGGTCTGCATGACGGAAAAAAGGGCGGCATTTGTTTTGGAGTTAGATCCTAGAACTGTCAGAATATATACGAAAACAACCGTTCCAATGGGCCCCATACCGATATCATTGTTGATCCAGAGCAGAACGGCTGCAGGAGGAGCAAACCCCCACGCAGCATTGAACAAGCCGAAGGACATGGCAGCAAGGGAGCCAACCTTGTTTTCCGTTCAATTATTAGCCATACCCACGACTAGGAAGATTTGGACTCCTCACTGTGTATGGCTCCATGAGGAATTTCCAGCCAACCTGCTCGACATGGTGGGTGGCTTCAAGGGCCAGTTCCTCAGCAAGGTCATGGCTGGCTGGGGTCCCCGTTGATGCAGCGGCGGGGGCTTGAGGCATCGCGACTTCAAGCTCGGTCTGGGGTTAGAGTCAGTAGTGCTAGTATAGGGATGTTGGGCCCTAAGGGTCCCGATCAACTGCTGGGGCTGTATGTACATACACTGTCCACTTTATCTTTGACAGACATATTTGCTAATATTTCTTATCAAGCTCAAGATTTTATGTCTCGAGTCCTCAAATATCGTGCCATCCTCTGGGATTGTAGACATTTCCATCAACCTTTATATATTCTTTACATCGACCGCCATGGCAGCTAGTATCCAAATTCCTCTGGCACTAGCTAACCCCAGGATTTG